ATTTTGGTAATATTATTGTTAATGCAGTTGCCTTTGCTACCTCTTCTAAATCATCAGTAATAACAGGGAAACACACTCATTGGGCACTTTGTTAGGCACACCTAGACTGCCTTAATTCTTTGTGGTAAAGATTCCGTGAGGTGCTGGAAACATGCTTGAGATTATTTTTTCCATATTGACTAAATATCATCACACAATTGTTGCAGATTTGTTGGCTGCACATCCATGATCTGAATCTACCCATTCCCATCTCCCATCCTGATCTGACTGAAATCTGTGGAGGCCATTTATGTACAGTGAGTGTGTCAAATATGTACCAGATATACCTAATAAAGTGTCTAGTGATTGTAGATCTTAATTAACTTTTTGTGACATGCATAAGTAAAAAAGTATGAAGGGTAAAGATGCATTTGACTTTCAAATTTAATATTAGTAGGTTCACATTGAATCACTCTCAATTTAGTTGAAGTAAGTGCAACATCACTATTAAAGGTCGTGTTGGAGTCTGTTCCTTGTAGTCTAATACCACACAGGGACAAATGCAGTTACAAAACAATTAGGAGTATGGTGGGTATGTTGACATCTTGAACAAAGTCTGGTAGTGTGTTCCAGTAAAGGCATTAAACTAAACATTTACTGTATCTTTTCAGCATATAGACAACTTGAGGCAATGTAATAAAATGAGGAAAAAAAATCTTTGAGCTAACTGCTGAACTGCTATGTCCCTTTAACAAGCTATTAGTTATTTTAATAATTTGTAGTTAATATATTTATCTAATAAATTGTTAATGGATAATAATTAATCTATACATTAACAACTATAAATCTCATAAATCAAATTAAATCTTAATTCATTGTGTACAGTTTACTTACTTTATTCATGACCTTTAAGGTAAAAGCTTGAAATTCTGGGTATTTCATCTGTTTGTTTCCCTGCGTTTAAAAATTGATGCACCTTCCTGTTTGTTCTTTTAATATAAAGCTTCTGCTGGGAGGCACTTCTTTTAGAAAGTGGGAGGAAGAAATGCAGAGACTTTTGTATTTTTGTATACTTTTTGGCATCATTTGGGAAAAAATCCCCCCAAAAAACATTTTGGCGTATATTGTACTTACGATGTTCTCCCGCACTTCCTCAGGGCTCTGTTTGTAGAAAATCTAGTCCTTGATGGGAGATTTTAGGATATTGCTTTTCAGGACCAGATCTGACGAAGTCTTTAATCTGGAAAAGGAAAGTTCATGAAGCACTTGCATATGTGTGCATCTCTGGGCTTAGACGAGGGAGGGGAGAGAGAACTGCTGCAGGAGGATGTGTATAGATTCCTGCCTACTGTAGCTTTAAACACATATAGGATGCATGGTCATGTGATCATTATCCGCAGTGACTGCTAGCCAGTTGGGAGCACTGGGACATTTCTCAGTGGCCTGATGGTTGTTTAAGCCTGCTGTGTAACATCTAGTTTCACTAGTGATACTATAGCAAACTGGAATGAGTGAACAGACCACCCAGAATCCTTGCATTAGCTGTGACTCTTGTCACCAGACTGTACGATTTCCCTGCAGTCTCTGTGAGGTTTTTTTCTTTTTTTGCTTGATTCTTGACTATAGAGATTATCATCTGAAAAATTGCATCTCATTCTGAATTGCATACTAAAAATAACTATGATTTTTAATAGATGCAAGTTAATGGCTTTGTGTGTTTGGCCTTATGCATTTGTATGTTCTCTGAAGTTTTCATTAATGCACCCACTGCCATGCATTTGTAATTTGAGTAACACTTCTCTCAGAGGAACCTAGTGAAACAGTTTTAGCCTTTCACCAGTATTGATGTTGGCTATAATGTTCAAAAATGAAATTTTTAAACATTATATCAATAGCACACATATTTGTTTGGTTGTGTTAGTGTCTAGTTGTTTTTTAACTGAGCAGCTATTTTTGCAGTCATGTTTCTAGACCCTTACCTTGTTACGCTCAGTCTAATATAAGTTGCTTTTGAATTAATGATGAATTTGATGAATTCTTTTAGTTCAGGTTTGTGTAGTGAAAATCACGCATAGTGAAAGCCTGAAACAACTTGTAGGTTGCTACGTTTGTTGGAAGTAATGTCACATGGTCTCTCTTTTTTTTTTTCTTGTCTCACCTGCTCTCATCTGTGCTTTGGTAGAGAAATGTGATTGATTGATCCAAACTTGGTCACTACCTGATAAACAACCGTACAACAAACCGTACAACAAAATGTGAAAGTATTAATTTATACTAATTCTTTACTTGTAGCAGCTTTTTAAGAATATTATTATAAAAATTTCTGAAACAGGAGAGCACACAGCCTCAAATATTAAATTGTTGAGGCGCTCATAAGATATTTATATGTATGAATATATATGAGGTAGCAGAAGTAGTATAATTCTACCATCTAATCTTTCTGTAGCAGGTGTTCATTTATGATGAATAGTTTAGATAGAAGATAGAAAAAGAGGAAGAAACTAAGAGAGCACAAATTAAATAACTGCTATTGTTCTCTCCAACTTTGCTCTGTAACAGACCCCCTCGTTCATGCTCCTCCAGCCTTTCATGATTCAGAATTGTGCTGTAGATAGAGAGAAGCTCAAATTAGCAAGGTTACCCTTTAATGAGGATTTAGGAGCGATTACAAACCAATAAGACACATTAAATATCTGCGTGAGGTCAGAGCTTTGTTGATTAACACGAATAAATCAACAATTACTCCAGCAGATACTGACATTTCTGGATTTCCTTAACCACTTTTTAATCCTGCCTAATCTACACCCACTGAAACTGTAAGGCACCTCTTGTGCTGCCAGTGTTCTGCAATTGGAAACTGAAAGCCATATCAGACTGGTTTAGATGCAGAAAATCAAATGACACTGCTGTTTTTGTTTTTCCAGTATTCTGTTGTTCACTACATATTTGTTTCTCACGCTCACTAGTGAGCTTGCTGTTCTCTGTGGGGAATAGCTATGTTATTGTTTTTCGACAATTAGAAGCCATAATGAAATGCAGTTAAAGAACACGACAGATTGACAGACGGAGAACGGAAGCAGCGGCAGTTCGAGTGCAGAAGATTGGCTCCATCAGCGCGGCTTCAGAAGTTAAATTGAATTTTATTAATAAGGTTAATACTGCCGTGTTGTTTCATTAAGAATTTGCTTTTGTTCTCAACTGAACAAAGCTGACAGGATTAGGAAATGCTTTCTGAAGATGTGTTTTGTATTGGGCTTTGTGCTGTTAAAAATACAGTTAAAGAGCTTTACCCAGACTGAGAAATTAGCTAAAAACCAGCTAAGAAAATTAACAAAAAGTGAAGACTGTGCAAAAGTCTTGAGCCACCCCTCATTTTGCTTCAAAGGAACCAGACGTGTTCATGAGCAATAGTTCTTCAAGCTTTTTGATGTTTTTTCAAACAGCTTTGGACATTGGCTGCTTTTTCGCCCTTTTTTAGTCTAAAAAGAGTATTTCCTTTTTCTTGGTTAAGCTAGGTCAAGTTAAGTGGCTTAGCTTGAATCATTTAAGGCAACTAACTTGAGGGATTGACCTGTTTAGTCTACACAGAACAGAGTATTTAGCGAAGAAGCTATTTTAAATGATATCTTTAGGCACTTTTGTTGCTAACAGCCTATCACAAAAATAAATAATTTGTTGGTGGCATAAGCAATATTTAAATAATAACAAAAAATAACAATTTGTTGCGGAGGGCAAAAGTGACAGACATAAAAAAAAACTCTACAGTAGGGCTGCACGATTTTGCATAAAATGAGAATCACGATTTTTTGGCTTAGAATTGAGATCACGATTCTCTCACGATTCTCTTTTCCAGTATAAATATTTATTGCACTTATTAACTGCACATCAACTTCGTAACAGTTGAGACTGAACATAAAAACAATAAATAAACATAAAAACAAATGTCTCACGTTTTGTTGTTGCCGCAAAATGTTGTACTGCTTGAAATTCCGTCTCCACCGTTGCTCGACGCTGCGTGTATAGAGCAGGTAGTGCAACAATAGAAAAATAGTTGCGGGACGGCACTGTGTAGCGTTTGTCTAGGGTGTTGATCATTTTCCTAAATCCCTCGTTTTGCACAGTGTTGATGGGAGCCATATCTTTGGTCAGGTGATAAGTGATAGGCTCCGTAATTTGAGTTCGACGTGTATAGGGAAGCGCTGTATAAGGTTCCCGCTATTCGTGTTTGGGTGGTTGACCAGGACGGATTTTCTCCTGCCACTTTCTCGTCATCCCTGACGTGCTCTCCGTTGTTTTTTCCCTGCTAATTTTAGCATCACACGGCACAGCTTCTGTATCACGTAGGGGACTTCTTATGAAAATGACTACAACTTTGCGGTGACTCGATTGGGGTGAATATAAAGTGATGGCAACTCTTCTTTTCTCACTCAGAAACATTTGGAATCTGAAGACCAGATGCTTATTGACCTCAAGTGACATACAGCTGCATAGTAGAGGGGATCAGTTTTTCTCCATGGTGTTTGAGGCCTTAGGAGATTTTTAGATATGGAAAACTGCACCTGCACACAAGACAATTCTTACTGTTTCTCTTGCAGTCATTAAGGCCAAACAGCTTTCTTAGGTGCCTTCTGTTGATTGACAAAAATAGACAGGAAGCACAGCTGGCTGGTAAAAGACCCAAGGGCTGACCTTGGCAACAACACAGGGATTGAATTTCCTAAGAGATCTGGGAATTGTGGGGATCCCTCGGAAGGAGCTGGCGAACCACAATCTTTGTGTGCAGTGTTTTTTGTGTGTGTGTTTTTTTTTTGACAAGTAGAACTCTAATTTAGTTTCTGCAATCTCTTATCTTCTTTTAAATTATTTATTATCTTTTGTAAATGCAAAAAAATAGTAATAGTTAACATGGTTCTCATCAATAGCCGATCTTGCCGAGGACTCCTGATAAAATAGATGAAGTAGATGCATTTCTGTCATTATCAGATGATCGCAGCTGACACTTGATGTTTCTGTCTTTGCAGAGTGACCCTGCAGTGAATCCTGAGAACGTTAGTCTCCCGACAGGAGACAAGATGGCGTCTAACAACACCCTGCGCAGCTACTCCATCATCCCATGTTTCATCTTTGTAGAGGTGAGGGAGTGTGCGTGCATGCATTGTCTTTGCGTGATAATCTGGGCTTCTGCATAAAGTGGTAAATTCATGCATATGACCCTTGTTTGGCAAATGAACATGATGGAAATATGGTTTTGAGTGTTAATTTACCATAAGTGAACAACCAGAGTGTAAAGTGTTGAAATGAGTGTGGAGCTGAATGCATGCGTGTTTGTAATTGGGCAAGTGTGTGTGTGTGTGTGTGTAAGAGTTGTGCAGCTCCTGAATTTTTAATTACTGTGTTAGCTGAAGGTCCTTAATCAGAGAGATGTCTCAGGACACTTTGTGTTATTCTCCTCCATCTCTCTTTGTGTTTTACTCGTTCTCCCTCTCACACAGAGACACACATCTCAGACGAAATATCCTACATCACAGTGTCAGATCAGTTTATACACTCATGTTCTTTCTGCCTTTATCTCATGCTTTCTTCTTGCCCGACCTTTTTGTCTCGCTCATTTTTCCTGACACTCATCCATAATGGGACTGTTACCTTCTGTTAATTAGTGTTACTGCCTGCTAGTGTGATCCTGGGCGTGTCCTCCAAGATAAGTGAAATGTGACTCTCGCATGCATGTGTAGTGAGTTTAAGACTACACTGATAGGATGTGCAATAGGAAATGTCACTGAACACTTTATTTCCACCCACAGCCAGAGTGAAAACCATTCTGAGAATCAGAACTGCTGCACATGCTCTCAGCATCTGCAATGGTGATGAAACAGACATCACGTGGTTTCTGTTTGAACATGTGCCTCCTCAAGAAAAGTGCAGTAAGTGACAAAAAAACAAACAAAACAAAAACCAATTAATCTAACATACTTTATTTTACATCTGAAAGAGAGAAATGGAGCCATTCCTCAGATCCAGGGTGTACCCTGCCTCTCAGCTCTCATCCAAAATACGTCTGCTTCAGTCCAAACAGTACATTGTTTGCAATATAGCACTCCACTAGCACTTCTTCTAGATGATAATTTCCTTTATAATATTATGTGGTTTCATAACTGTCACTTATGAGATTGTGTTGTCTAATTTTGCTCCAGTATTATTTTAAAAGCCTAGAGCTAAAAATACTAGATGGAAAACAAATAAAAGAAAACAACAACAGGAGACAGTGGCCATGGATGTGCCGTGATTGTATGTTTTTACCTCATAGATCACATGTAGTCAGTTACTATGTCACTTTCACTTCCACTGAGCCAAACTTTTTATTTTATGTGAGAAAATTGCTATAAACAGTAACTATAAACAACAAAACAACATCAAAAATACTGCAGCTGTAAAACATCATCTTGGTACACATTATTTTTAGATGTGAGATGTGACTCATCATTAAAAAAAGCTCTTTTAGACAGTTCCTTCTGTTTGACGATGTGTCACCATTGTAGTTATTTGCTCATTTAGAGTTTTGAAGTGTCAGTGCTTGAACGCTGTGTGGAATGATGAGATTTTAAAAAAAAAACAACCAAAAAAAACCATTAGGAGATATAACGAGGGGCGGGTTTAATGTAACCACTGATTAAGCTGGTGACACATTAAACATCTAGGTGGTAAGTACTGATAAGTCAGTGTTTTAAATGTAAGTACAGCAATATGTTGGAAATATTATCCATCAGACTGGATTTTATATTCAATAAGTCTAACAGTGGGTTTGATACATTACCTGAGCATTTTGGGTAATATACAATAGGCCTAGCGACCATCTGGCAACCACCAGGGAATACATGTTTTTCCCTATCTGGTTTCGGGTGGATGCTAGAAGCTGCTGGCAGCTGCTGTGAAATAGATTGCTAAAGCCCCAGACATGTAGGACTAAAGTCAGCTGGTGTCTCCTTGGTAACTACCGGTGACTAGGCAAAAATATGCTGAGTGATTACTGGAGGTTGGTGACAGTCCCCAGTTTGTTCGCTAGCATGTTGCTATGACCAAGTAGCAGATTGTTGCATATAGTTTGCACCGAAGATTCAGACTCTTTTGTTTGTTTTCCAAAGTTTTACCTATCGAAATATGTCGGCTGCAGCACCGAAGAACCCCCCCCCCCCTTTTTTTTTAAAGGCAAACGTTTCTGGTTTGCGTCACACTTTTTTCCAAGTATCACTACAGCTACAGCAAGTGTTTGCTGACAAGCTGATAACTTCCATGCAAACTATAGTACTCTGTGAGCAACCAACGGACTCACAAGGAGGTTTTTGGTGCAGCGCCCTCTTTGCAACTGATTTCACCTGCCAACAGCAACTTCCAGCAACCATTAGCTGATCAGAGGGGAGTGTAGATTTTCCTTAGTGACCGTAGGATGCTTCAGGGTTACCCACCGGCCTCTAGGCCAGTTCTTATTGATGGACATGTGTCATCCACCAATGCCAGTGGCAAATGGACGTTAACTTTTTACTGGCTAAATTTTCAATGCTAGTGTGATGATGAACAAAGTGACTTTTAAAAAACTTCATCTGTAAGTAATGACGACGTCTTCGTGTACGTGTTCTTTGCACAATATTGGCCAATTTTTGTTGTAATTTATTTTTCCGGAATATCAAAATGAATTTTCCCTGAATCGAAGTATTAATAAATGCTATCATGTGACCTATTTTGAACTTTTTTCATTTGCTCAGTGGTCAGATTTTGCTTCCAAATGCATTTGCTCCCCATTTTTCATACAATACTAGACCGCCAACTTTAGCTTGGTCCCAACAGTTCTTATTACATATTGGGGGGCTTTATCAGCGTTCGGCTATCTGACATATTTATTCCGAAGAGAATCTCAACTTGGCCTCTCACGCTTCGATATTGACCTTTTTTTTATTATATGTCTCTCTCAAAGCAGTCGGCTTTATAGAACTGCAAGGCTAAAGCGATGAGGTGCAGCTATATATTGAGTCTTTAAATGGTATTTCAAATGTAGTTGTAGTCATCAGTTAGAGCTTCTATAAGGGCATATTTAGCATTTTTCAAACTGGGCTTTACTACATTCTTATTCATCATCTTGTCTCTATGTGTCAGTGCCCAATAAATGGGAAGATTTTGCTTTCAGATTCATCATTTGGTTTATTGGCTTTTGCATCACAATCTAAGCTTAAAAAGTCATTGGCAGAGTGCTCCTAAGAGAGACACTGTAATACCCTGATGAGTAGCAAGCTTCTTCTCTAATTTTCATTACCCTGTTTTCACTTACTCCCCCTTTTTTCTTCAGCGACACTTGTCAAAGGCATGCTATCTATCTCCCTGTTTCATTCTGCTCATCCTCGATTTCTCTTTCTCCCCCTCTTTGATGTCTTCGTCACATCCTCGCAGCCTCATTTCTCTCCTGCCCCTCCTTCCTCGGCTGTACTTGCTTCCTCCCTCAATCTCTTCTCTCTTCTCTTCCTATTTCGCGTGGTGCCACAGGAGCTCTTTCTCCCCTTCACCCAGTTTCCCATCATTTAAATCACTACATCTTGGTTTGTCTCGCTCCTTTTTCCTGCTCCTTTTGTTTCTTCTCTCCCTCCTTTCCTTCTCTTACTCACCCTGCCTGTCACGAACACAGCAAGGCAGAGGAACACTGCCGTCACGTGATCAAGACAGAGGGGCCTGATTGGAGCAGCTGGGCCATGTAGTTCACTGCCAGAGGCAGTCTGACAGGGAGGATGTTTATTTGTGGTGATTTGTTTATTTATTCGTGTAACTTGTTGCCTTTATTTCATCTGTTACTTGACGTCAGGATGTTCATTTGTTGCTGCCATTTGTCTCTCTGAGTGTGCAGAGGAAAATTGGGAGATGAAAGGGGTTGCAAAAAAAAAAAAGAAAAGATGGGGCATGAGGGAGGAGGAAACGGATAAGATGAAACAAGCAAAAAAGGGGGAAGGAAGTAGAAGGAAAAAGTGAAAAGTTATGAGAAATTAATTAAAGGCTGAGCTGTGGAGACAAGCTGGGAAGAGCAAAGAGAGGACCGATATATCCTGTACCTGCATGGGATTATGTAATGTATAGAGCTGTGGGCTCTCATTAATCTAGCTACAGCTATCTAGCTTTTTCAGGTTTTGCATGGTTGAAGAAAAAGCTGGATGCACTTACTGTTAGCAGCCTGCTAAAGCAGCTCAGGTTGCCAGACTATTTGGAAGTAAACCAATCTCTTGAGAAAATGTCTTTCTTTTATCTTCTTTGTTTTCCTTATCTCCTAGAAGCTTTAATTAAAGCTTCTAGTTAGGTATACACAATTTAGACAGCAAACTTCCCAACGTGCAGTCATTACTGCAGGGAGCGGCTTTGTTATTTAGCTCAGAAGAAGTCAGATATTGTGTGAACTGAATTCCAGTGTTTGACGTAATTTGTACTGGAACATGAAGCTAATGTGAATATGTGTGTGCTGTTATGTCTCACGAGCAGTGAAGGCAAACAGCTGTCTGTCTGAAATGTTCATTAAAATAAGTGGCTCTAATGGTTTTAGGTTTAGAGTATGAATATTATTAGTTGTTTCTAAAAACTGTTAAACTAACAAAACAACTGAAAATGGCCCAGGTGTACTCAATGTGCCCGAGGTGATATTTTTTTTTGTACAAAAACAGCTGAAATGCACTTCATACTCTAAACCCAGTTCAGCTGTAAAGTTGCTGTAAAATGAAGAGTGAATTCTAATGAGTTTAAAAAGCATTATGTGGTTTGACCGCCTTTATTCTCTAACACAGCCTGAACTCTCTTAGGCTAGCTTTCTTCTTGAAGGACCTTCAAAGCTGTTCTTTGGATGTCCGCTGCCTCTTTGTTCCGTTCTCTGTCAAGCTCATTGCACAATGCTTCAATTTTTAGTTTTAACATTCTTAATAACATCTTGAAAAGTTCCTGAGCACCACTGGCTGAAATTGGACCTAATCATCGCACTATATGACCTGATGCCTTTGATTTTAAGTCTAGTTCTTATATATTTCGTCATACCTCAGTCTTTTCCTCCTCTTTTGCTTTCTTAAGAATAGCTTCTTGACAGCAACCCTTCAACTGAGACCATTTATGGTGAGGC